GTATAACAGGAGAGAGCAGCACATTGGAGAGTTGAAACACGCTCTGACTTAATAGTCTGAGCCTTGACTTACTGATCTATAAAATGGGAATTAGCTTTTTTTTGGTAGGTCATGGGACCTGAACTCTGGGCCTGGGCGCTGTCCCTCAGCTCCCCAGCTCAAAGCTAGCGCTCTACCACTTGAGCCACAGCACCACTTCTGGTTTCTTCTGCTTATGTGGTGCTGAAGAATCGAACCCCGATCCTCATGCAATAAAAAACATACCAAAAATAAATAAAATGGGAATTATACCACCTAATGCACAGAGTTGTTGGAAGGACTGAATATAATGATACAAATGAAAGTACTTTGCAATTGAACACTGGTGGTATGGATTAACTGTGCTAGATAACCTAGTGTATTTTCACTATGAAGGCATAAATTTTGGTTTGGTCAACAATCCCCATCTTCCCCCTTCTTTGGCGATCTCCACTTTGGTGAAATACGAACAAAAGTTTCAAGCCGCCTCTTATACACATTTTGTATTCTCTGGCTCCCAGTTTTCCATACCCTCCCATCTTGCCTGTCTCATTATGTGCTTGAGCCCAGTTAATTGTCACTTACTCACCTGGTATGAGCTGGAGTGTGTCCAGGATTTCCCTCATAGCAGGTGTACATTTTTATGGGCACTGTACACTGGGAACGGTAATAGAAATTCCAGGTAGTTATGGCAATCACTCAAGGAAAGCACTTGGCTCCTTGTGCTTCTAAGAGATCCTTTTGGGAGGACCACTAAGTTCACAACTCTTCTCATCTCTGGGAAGGACGTCATCCACAGGTGTAAATCCCAGTGGCCTTCTGTATGCTAGATGACTTTGCCCTAGCTTACTGGGTAATTGGTTCCGGCTGAAACAATCAGACTTCTAGGCTCTTTAAGACTGGCGTTCGGAAAACAGATTCATCACTCCCTATGAGATCTGAGCTCTTGGTTCTGGTTATGTCTGGGCCCCACCTGATCTGCTCTTCCTGTTGCTCTAGCAGCCTTCTCACCGAACCCTTTTGTCCGGTTTGCAGTTGCCTCAACTCCACCTGCTGAGCTAGGGATGCAGTTGCGAGTGGATTGCTTGAGGAATGATCCCAAAGAATATAAGCTAGGGAATGGGGAAGCGAGGCAGGGGGAAAGAAAGCCAAGAGGTCATATTAATAAGCAGCTCTTCACTGTAGGTGACTGGGACTCAATCTTGCCAGGAACCTCTAGGTAATCATAGACTGTATTTTGGATTCATCTGACTGGAGGACTGAAAGAGTTCATTAGTCAGCTTGCATCCCCATTGGCTGAGACTGTCCTTAGGGTGTTTCTCCTTGGCAATTATGGGCCATGCCTACTGCTGCCTGATAACAGAGAAAGCTCCAATGGAGAGAACAAGAGAGATTTGGGTTTTTGAGGTCTGAGGCTGACAGTGTAGTGACAACTGCTTAGGGCTGTAGAGAATTCCAGTAGGTAGAGGAGACACTGAGAAATGGCATCCTAAGTATCTGCCCCCACCTTGCTTAAAAGAGTTCCCTTTAGGTGTCTGTCCCTTTGACCAATAGAGCCCTTGTTGTGCAGCCCACGTCTTCCCACAGTGGCAGCTATACCCCGGTTGTGCATTGCTACCAGGAGCATGTTCCTCCATCAGTGGCTATGGAGGGTTGTTAGGGCAAGAGTATTGTGGCAAAATGTGTGGGCTGATTGCAGGACAATGGATAAAAACGGTACAGTGGCTTAGGCTTGTCATTTCATCTATGTGGCAGGGAAAAGGTTGAGGTATGAGGCTACCTCAGGTAAAAATGCCAATGATCTGGAAAACAAAGCAGAGCTGGGAGGTGGTACAGAATCTCAAGTGAGAGAGCAAGAGCAAGAGGGAGGTCCTGAGTGCAAACCCCAGTCTCTCTCTCTCTCTCTCTCTCTCACTCACACACACACACACACACACACAGAGGCTCATTGTTGCCACTGGTCCATGGAGTGATGCCTTCTTTTATCTGGTAAAGAATTCTGAATACATCAGAGCAGCCAAAGCCTTAGGGAAATATTAAGGCGTTTACTATGTTTTCTTCTACAGTGCATGAGCAAATTCACTTTTAGCACTGCATGTTGTTAAAGTCTCGATGTCTAAACTGAATTTTAAAGACAGCCCTTTCCACAATAGTGTGGAATTGAAAAGGAGGGGGAAAAAGAGAGGGAAATAAGAAAGAATAATACAGAGGAGGTGGATTTTATCCAAGTATATTATATGCATGTAAGTAATGACCACAGTGAAAACCCTTTGTAGGATTAATTTGTGCTAATAAAAAGTAGCACATGGGAGTGGGAAGGTGGCTCAGTGGTAGAATGATTGTCTTGCATGTATGAGACCCTGGGTTCGATTCCTCAGCACCACATAAGCAGAAAAAAAAGCTGGACATGGTGCTCTAGCTCAAGTGGTAGAGCATTAGCCTTGAGCTGAAGAGCTGAGGGACAGCGCCCAGGCCCAGAGTTCAAGCCCCACGACCGACAAAAAAAAAACAAAAAACCTACACACAAAAAAACAAAAACAAGAAAACAACAACAACAATAACAAAAAAACTAGCACATGGTCTAGACACAGTGGCTCAAGCTTGTAATCCTATCTATTTGGAAGATGTAGATGTTTGAGGCCAGTCCAGGCAAAAAAGTTCAGGACACTCCATTTCAACCAATGACTAAATGCAGTGGCTTGCACCTTTTATCCAAGATATGGGAGAAGTACAATGGCTGCTTAAAGCTACGTTTTCCTATCATCTCCAGAGCTGTGGGCAACCACATGCAGTGTGATCAAAATCCAGGCTGGGCCTAAGCATAAACTGAAACCCTATCTTGAAGATAACCAATGCAAAAAGGGATTGGAGGCATGGCTCAAGTGGTAGAGTACCTGCCTAGTAAGTTTGAGGCCCTGAGAGTTCAATCCTCAGTAACACATCTCCCCCACAGCCCATAAATAACAGAACTTGTGAACCTTAAGTTAAAATAAACTCCAATAATCTGCTGACTTCCTAAATTCCCAGAAAGTTGTTTATCTTTCCACAAGCTCCCTCCCCACAAAAGCCAACTGCTTTTGTTTAGAATGCACTCAGCTTCAGGGAAGAGAAACTTGTTCTTAGCATCTCAGAAATGGAAGCTTTTCCTCATGGAACATGACTGGTGGGCAGTGGTTGCTGGTACCAGTTCAGTGGCTCAGTGTGCTGTCAGGGCCTTTGACATAGAGCTCACTTTCATCCAGTAGGTGGATTTTAAGTCTGTCCAATTTTTTAAAATTGACATTATAAAGGTGATGTACAGAGGAGTTACTGTTTCGGTACAATTTTTTTTCTTTGGTGCCTCTCCTAGGGATTGAACTCAGGATCTGAGCCCTGTCCCTGAGCTTCTGTGTTCAAGCCTAGCTCTCTACCACCTGAGCCACAGCTCTACTTCTGGCTTTTTATTGCCAGTGCTGGGGCTTGAAGTCAGGGCCTGGACTCTCCCTGAACTTCTCTGTGCTCAAGGCTAGCGCTCTACCATATGAGTCACAGGGCCACTTCCAGCCTTTTCTGTTTATGTGTTACTGAGTAATGGAACCCAGGGCTTCATGCATACTAGGCTAGGCACTCTACCACTAAGCCACATTCCCAGCCTACTTCTGGCTTTTTTGATGATTAAGTGGAGATGAGTTTTACAAACTTTCCTGCCTGGGCAGGCCTTGAACTACAATATTCAGATTTCAGCCTACTGAGGGTAGCAGCTAGGATTACAGGCGTGAGCCATCAGTGTCTGGCTAAGCCTATACTTTTTGTTGAATACTTCTCCTGAAGTGAAGTTTCAGTGAGTGGAGAAGTTAAACAAATTAAAAGTCATGTTAAAAATAATGATCACAGCTGGGCACCAGTGGCTCACACCTGTAATCCTAGTTACTCAGGAGGCTGAGATCTGAGGATAGTGGTCTAAAGCCAGCCCGGGCAGGAACGTCCCTAAGACTCTTATTTCCAATAACCCACCAGAAAACTACAAGTGGTGCTGTGGCTCAAATGGTAAAGTGCTAGCCTTGAGTTGAAGAGCTCAGGGACAGTGCCCAGGCCCTGAGTTCAAGCCCCACGACTGACAAAAAAATATAATGATGATCATGGCTGGGTGTTGGTGGCTTATGACTGCAATCTTAGCTACTCAGGAGGCTGAGATGTGAGGATTGCAATTTGCAGCTAGCCCGGGAACGAAAATCTCTGAGATTGTTATCGTCAATAAACTACCAATAAGCCAGAAATAGAGCTGTGGCTCACGAGGCACAGCAAAAGAAACTTAGGGGAATGCACCCTGGCCCTGAGTTCAAAAAAAAAAAGAACACGTGCTTTAGGATTTGGAGCATTCTGTCTAAAAAGATCTAACTTGGTGGGGGTATGGATGGAATTGGTAGAGATGGGAGAGAATAGAAGGACTGACACTGATCAAGATGCATTGTACTTATAAATCGATATGTTGAGTTGAGACCCCTTCGTACATCTACTTAAATATATTTTAAAGAAAAGAAAGAAAGGAAAAAAAACCCTGAAAACATTCTGCCCACCCCCCATATCATCAAAGTCAGTGCCACCAGTAGAGGCAGTAGAGCCCGATGAACGAACACAGCAGCTGGTCTGTCTACCATCCTGTTTGACCTATAAAAAGGGCAATACCATGTAGCTCAATGAGATGGGATAATTGTCATCACTTGGAAAGTGCTTATTGAGTGCTGATCATTAAATAATTTTAACAGCTCCCCAGTGACCAAACTAGGTTTCAAGCACTGTTTGCCAGCAGCAACCTGGCTACCTTCCCCCACTTTTTTATTGAACATTCCTTATCTTTTGGCTTCTAGGTAATAAAGCTAAAGACAGACTTTTCCTACTTTCCGAAGTTCATTCTACCTTTTTAGAAAATGTGACAAAACATAGCCAGTCTCTTCTGGAAGATGAGGAAGGCAGTAAGATATCGTAGCCACCTCCTGGCTGACATTTGAGCCCTGCTTTCCTCGCGGTCAAGCCTTTTGGAGGCAGGCAGTGTATGGCTTGTATCAAACTCTATATTTAGGAAGAACAACTGTGAGCTATGACAGGAATTCTCTTTAACACTTAGCCTTAAACTGAGTTCCCCTTCAGCCCAGAGCCAGGAGCAGCTCTCAGTACTGAGAGAGTCACAGAGCACTCGAGCTATTTCAGCTACATGAAAAGCATCGCAATTGAGATCGCAGCTCAGAGGACACCCGGCGTCCCTTCCATCCTCCAAGGAGCTTTGTATTCTTGTACCTGGCTGCCTGGGACTTTGCTCAGGCAGTAAACAAATACAGAGGCAGGTAAGCAGAAGGACTTAGCTTTGACAACTGTGCTTTCTTTAGGACATTTCCTTGATAACCTAACTTGAAGTGACTACTTATAACTTTTTTGGTGTGTAGCCAATTCTTTGTTCACTGATGTTATTGCTGAATCTGTTTTACAGATTGTGTGTGTGTGTGTGTGTGTGTGTGTGTGTGTGTGTGTATGTGAAGAAATGAAAATTAACTAAAGGTGTTTTCATTGATAGTGATATTAATAAAATATCCACAGTTCAGATATGATAATTATGACCTTGAAACTGTGATGGCTGGCAGTATAGTGTATTACCTGTACATGGAGTTCGGCTCTAAGTTGAGAATTCATAAGGAGAATTGGGGAAAGGCAAAAGCAATGTAATACCAGTCCTTTGGTTTACCTAAATGCAAATTATTGTCGGAGTTGTTACATAGTACAAGTTTGGAGTACTTTTCTCATTTCTCTAAGACGATAACTATATCTTGGTCTTGGTGATAAGTTCTGTGAGTATCTAATAGGTAGTTCTGTGAGTATGTCATAGGTATCTTATAGGAGCTGCAATTTGGCCATAGTCTTCTTTCTTGTCTCAGCAGGGATGAGGGCAGTACTTGTTGTCCCTGTCTGAGAATATGGGGGTACCAGATTCCAAGACATGGGACTGTGAAGAGTCTCTCTTCCTTGCAGTATATTTAAGACACAGTGAACAGGACTTAGTTCCAACAGCTGAACATCTTTCTACACTCTCTTCAGGAACTATTTTTAGCTGCAGGACAGAAGACAATTCCCTTTGAGATAGAGCTTTACCCATTTCCTTGACCTTTACAAAGAACAGACAGAGCAAAGCTCTTCTTTCCAAATATTGATTGATTTCCCTCTGAATCCTTTCTTACTAAGGTAGTGATATAAATGTTGACACATTTTTGGTACATCAATGTTTTATTTAGAAGTTAGATATTAGGTGCCGCCCAATCAAAACCAAATGGGGATATATTGTCTGTGACTCAGCATAGAGACCATTACAAGTCCCTACTGATTTGCAGGAAGCTCAACCGGCCTTGGTTGGCAAGCCTTTCCATGATACTACAGGCTTTGTAAAAGTCAATATGTCCTTGTCAAACTTCAGTGTTTCCAAATTTTCGCCAGAGCCAGGAGACAGACACAGTAATTGAGTGCTGTAAAGAAGAGTACCTCTTTGGATGAAAAGCAGTGGTCCCAATGGGAGTAGAATGTGTATCTAAGGCATAGCTTGCTTTTTTTTTTCTTTTGGTCCTGGGACGAAGCTTGAAGATGAAGAGGGAAGATGCACCCTACACTTTGCATCCCTGATGGAGGTGAATACAGGGCCAGAGAAACAGCCAGGGAACACTGTCTATTTTTATTCACCAGTGTGCTTTGCCCTGATTTCTCTGCAAATAATGAGGACAGAGGGAACTGCTGCTGAACTGATTTACACAAATGTTCTCTGGCCTGTTGGTGAGGAATGAGAGCTGGGAGCTAACCAGTTTTCTATCGATGTCTTTATCTATAGAAGATTGACATGGATGTTAAGAATAGGTTCGTATGCAAATGAGGACATACCAAAACAATATAGGAGACTAGACTCATCTATCCGTTTGCCTCAGACCCTCACCCTCTGCCCCTGCCCTCCAACCAAAACTTCTACAGCCATTCAGTAGTTACTAGAATCCGTGACAAAATCGACTTACTTTGAAAATTTAATGTAGTATGAACAACACAACCACTGACTGCTTGTTTTCTAGTATTTCCACCTGTGTCTGCAAATTCATAAATTTCCTAGTTCCTGTGTTTTAAATCAATGTACAGTAAGTTTTTTTAAAAGAGTTCCCATATGATCTTGGTAAAACTTTAGTTATACACGCACAGAGAACACTCACTACATGCTGAGGTATTTAAAGTACTGTGAGAGTTATTGCTTTGCATGATTTCTATTAGCTTTTGAGGAATGGAAACATTAAAAATTAAAGCACTAAGTGTTTCATTTTGAAATTGAGCTCTGTGCCCTAGATCCAAAAATTTACAATCCTTCATGTCTTTTTGATAGTGAAGGAGAGCCGAATGCTATTTCAAAAAACGCATAGAGCAAAATTCATCCTTGATTATTCAATTTGTTATTTAGCGTTTTTCCCCCTCCCCTCAATTTGTTATTTAGCTTTTAACCATATTAAAATCTTTTAAATGAAAACATGAAAAGCATCTAGGTTAAAAATAGGTATGAAAACTATATGTATTACTGAAACATTAAGGTGAAACTTAAAAATTTCCCATTTTAAAAAACTGTACTAAGCTCCTCAAGCTCTATTATCTGGTTATATTAATTATAATTTCTTTTTCAATTGTGCCATGGATATTTTTTGTCAGTCATGGAGCTTGACCTCAGAGCCTGGGCACTGTCCTGAGCTCTTTTTACTCAAGGCTTGCATTCTACCACTTAAGCCACAATTCCACTTCTGGTTTTCTGGTGGTTATTTGGAGATAAGAGTTCCACAGAGTTTACTGTCTGATCTAGCTTTGAATCACAATCTTCCAATCTCAGCCTCCTGATTAGCTAGAATTACAGGTGTGAACCACCAATGCCTGGCTGCAATATTTTTTTTAAATACAATTGTTTAATCATCATATAATACAGCATAAGACTCTGAAGATCTAGAAATACCCTAAGTTGGAGGAGGCAACAATGCTTGATAAGAAATATACTCATTACCTTGCTCATGTAATTGTAACCCCTCTGTACAGTATTTTCACAATAAAAAATGAAAATAAAAATACCCTAAGTCATTCGCTGTGCACAATGGCATAACATAATCAATATTTACATCATATTTTCTAGTTTAGCAAGGCTTTCCAGCAACATTATATGCTTTTGAGTCTTGCCACAATTGGGGAAATGGAGGAAATGAGCCTAGAATTGTTGAATGAATGACATTGCCCAGTTATGGTAGACAAATACCAACACTGCTGCTGGCGTTCATTTGCTCGTGTTAACACATACACTCTTGCCAGTTAACAGAGAACTCCCATCAACTTATTTTATAGCTACAGTTCCGAACATAGCATGCTTTTTTAACTCAATGAAGTTTGAACTTTTCATTCCGTCTTGTTGATGTTTAACAAGTGGAGCTATAAAAATAGGCCGGAACTTGGTTATTATTCCTTCAACCCCAGCCAACTGTGGCCTATGCCCCTAAAAATGTTCTAGTCATATAGACCTGACTCTAAGTTAGGTCTCATGTGTTCAAAGACAGTTTACATCTTGGGGATCTAACATGGAAATCCTACTGCTTTCTTCCTTCCTTCTTTTCAAATCAATCTTTCTCTCTCCTTTTGTCCTTTCCTTCCTTCCTTCCTTCCTTCCTTCCTTCCTCTCACCCTCCTTTCTCCTTCCTTCCTTCCTTCCTCCCTCCCTCCTTTCCTCCTTTCTTTCTTTCCTTTCTTTCTTTCTTTCCTTCTTTCTTTCTCTTTCTTTTTTCATGTTTATCTTAATTTATTTTTCTTAGAAATACATGCATATAACTGGATAAATATATCTTTTAAGAAGACAATTCTTTCAGCATTTATGTGGTGTTTTGCATTTTTAAACTTTTTTAATTGTAGAAATACTGTATAGAGGGATTACAGTTATAGGAGTAAGGTAATGAGTACATTTCCTATCGAACATTGTTACCTCCTCCTTTGTTTTTCCTCTACCATTCCTTCCCTCCCCACCTGCCCAACTCCTCCCTCCCCACCCCAAGTTGTAAAGTTCGTTTTCAACATAGTGTCTCCTCCATCTCATTGTTACAATGTGTCAATCTGTATCCTTATTTCAGCATTTTGTTATTTTCTTTCCACTCCTCAAATTATAAAAATGTATATACAAGATGTAGGGCATTGACATCAAATACAGTGAAAACAGGGGTTATACCATAGGGGAAGAACATACAAAAGAAACAAACAAACAAAACCTCACATAGTACATTTAAAATAGGTTAAACACAATAGCAAGAAAGAAAAAACCAGTTGTGTTCCTATCTTGGGGTTCATTTCACTTAACATCATCTTATCTGGCCATATGGACATAGCTTTTGACCTTTTCTGCTTGTCCTAGACTTATACTAGTTATTGCAAATAAGAGAAACCATGGGACCTATGTTTCTTTGGGCCTGCCTTGCTTCACCTAATATAATTTTTTCCAGGTCTTTCAATTTCCTAGTGTGTGTGTGTGTGTGTGTGTGTGTGTGTGTGTGTGTGTGTGTGTGTATGCCACATTTTCTTGATCCATTCATCTACTGAAGGGCATCTGGGTTGGTTCCATATCTTAGCTATGGTGAATAATGCTGCAATAAACATAGTTGCGCTGGTAGCTTTAGTATGGTCTTGTTTGTGATCATTTGGGTAAATGCCCAAAAGTAAGTGGTTGAACAAGTTTACCACTCCCACCAGCAATGCAGTAGAGTTCCTTTTTGGTCACATCTCTTCCAGCTTCCTTTCTTTCTTCTTTTCTCTCTCTCTCTCTCTCTCTCTCTCTCTCTCTTCCTTTTTTTTGGTAGTACTGGTAAGAAACAAAGGACATGAAATTCCGATAGGCAGGAACTCTATCACTTGAATCTGCACTCATTCCCCTACTTGCCTTCTGATGGTGCTTTGTTGAAAGAAAAGAACACATGAAAAACATTGATGCTTATGTTTACAGAGCCTGCACTCTGTTGGAAGCACACAGCAGAGGGTCTGGGGCGGGGTGGACAAACACAGTGGAGAGATGCCGTCCAGCTCCTCAGAGTATTTCCCAGGTATCTGTGAGAAAAGACATGCGCATAGGGACAAGAGAACATCATGACAGCAAGGATGTCCTGCAGGCCATTTCTCTGAGTAGCACAGGAAGAGCAGGTGCTCTCAGTAGACGGACTTGCTGCCCTGGCAACAATGAATGGAGATCAAAAGTTCAGTTTCAAGCAGAGAGCCTCCCAGGCTCTGAACAAAGGTGTTTTATTCCCACCACCTCTGTGTTTTGCTGCTCTTGGCAGAGGGTCAAGAGGGCAGGGAAGGAGATGATAGGGCCTTTCAAGTTTCTGATCGCCTATCATTAGCATCAGGGGCGAGGCATCTCAGCATTTCTCCTCCTGAATGATTTATCGGGGTGCTCTAGTGTTCCCTCTCCCTGAGGCATTGGGAAGGAGAGTCTCTAAGTAACTTCAGAAACTGAGACTGAAAGAATATATGGCCAGTGAAAGGGGTGACTGCCCAGTCGAATCATGAGTTAAATTCTAATTTATCACCAACTTGAATCTGAATACTGCCACCTCTAACAGTTTCTTACTTGTTTTTTAGGGATAAGACCTCGTGAGTATGTCAAAACAGCCAGTATCCAACGTCAGAGCCATCCAGGTAAGTAGGTATATTTGTGTTTTAACATTAGCTCTGACTTTCAGCCTGATTGCTTAATAAGTCATACTTATTGTGACCATTCACCTTAAGCGGATTATTCTTCAAGCAGAAAAGAAAGCTCCTCTTTATAAGTCTCTGGGGGAAACAATTGAGAAATGATAGAAGACTAAGTAAGGTACAACCGAGAAAAGAGCTCTTTTTGTTCAATTATTCTGTATTGTTAGATAATCAAAGTTTCTGAATGAGGCAAATTAGCTTCTCCAAAGTGTAGCATGTCCACCATGCCCTATTATATACTTTATGAAGAGCTAGAAGGACAGCTTGAAGACTCCAAAATAAAGCCATCATGAAGAACAGGAAATGTTAATTCTCTGATTTTACGAGTGCACACTGTATACATGTATGAAACTATCATATTGTTAAAATACCATACTGTATCTCATAATATGTATAACTATTATATGTTAATTACAATATAGTATACTTTTTAATACAACTATTTGTGCTAGTGCTAGGGCTTGAACTCAGGGCCTGGACACTGTCCCAGAGCTTCTCAAGGCTAGAGCTTTACCACTTGAGCCACAGTTCTACTTCAGGCATTTTTATAGTTTATTGAAGTTAAGAATCTTATGGAGTTTCCTGCCCAGGCTAACTTCAAACCATCATCCCGAGATCTCAGCCTCCTGAGTAGGTAGGATTATAGGCATGAGCCAGTGGGTGCATAGCTAAATGATATTTTTATATGCAGTATTCCTACCAAGAATAAGTGTTCATCTTTTAAACTCTATATGGTTTTAGTTCTCCTCATTCTCTCCCAGCAATCAAATTGTTTGGTTGTTTAAATTGAATTAAGTGTCACCCACTAAAATTGAAGAGAGAAGCAGACACTGTGAAACAAAAACACAATTATGAAAATAACTTTCCAAATTTGATTTTACTCAAGACTTATTTTGTTTGAAATAACAAATTTTGCCAGGCGCGGGTGGCTCATGCCTGTAATACTGGCTACACAGGAGGCTGAGATCTAAGGATCACGGTTCAAAGCCAGCCTAAGCAGGAAAGTCTGTGAGACTCTTATCTCCAATTAACCACCAGAAAACTGGAAGTGGCTCTGTGGCTCAAAGTGGTAGAGCACTAGCCTTGTGCAAAAAGAGCTCAGGGACAGTGTCCAGGCCCTGAGTTCAAGCCCCACGACTAGAAAAATTACCAAATTTCTAAGACAAATCTTAAATACTTCCCACCCTAATACTCTATGCACAAGATTTTCTTGTAAAATTCTATCAACAGAGTCCATCTGGCCTTTCTCCAAAGAAACTTCTTTTCTTCCTGGATTTTTGAGAATACGAAAGGGAAGGCGGCAGTTCCAAAATATTTCATCTCTGATTCACTATCATAGCCTACACACAATCACAAATGGTGGGGCATGTTTTGGAAGGGTGTGGATATGGCCGGACAGTGAAGAATTTAGAAATTCTAGCATACACAGTGATAGGGGTGGTTGGAGAGACAGATCTTTACTGGCTATGACTAATGCATGTCCTTAAATGGATGGAATTCTTAAGTGACAGGATGTGTAACAACCGCTGGATGCCTGTCACTGAACAAGCCACCAAGGAGGGGGCTAGGAGTTGATAAGGATTACATTCTACATGGTGACATTTAGTCCTCTGGTGTCTGTCTCTGACATTTCCTGACAGTGTTACTGGGTATTATTTTTCCCTTCGACCTATGATCATCAGTGAGCCTTTGAATCTTCTACCTGGAGTGCAAGCAGTTAGTAGCGTTGTCTCTACCATTAGACTGCTGGAGACCTTAATGCACTAAGTGCTGGTATAGGATGGTGGGAAATTCCTTTGTGCTACTTTACCTTTCTGGGTCTTCATTTTCACATCTGTAAATTGGAGGTAATAATACCACTCGCCACTCAGGGCTACAAGTATATAAGATGCTGAAAATAGCATAGTGAGCATTGGTTGAAGATCAACCATTGTTATAGTTGTCATTAGTCAATAATGCTTTAGCCAGGCACTAGCAGCAATCCTAGTTACTCAGGAAGCTGAGATTTGAGGACTGTGATGTGAAGCCAGCTCAGGAATAAAGGTCTACAAGACTCCATCTGCAACTAACCAGCAAAAAGCTGGCCTGGAGGTGGGATACAAGTGATAGAGCAGAAGAGGAAGAATGAGACCCTCAGTTCTAGCACAAAACAAAATAAGAAAAGAAACTAAAATAAAAAGAATGCTTCATATGAGGGTAATATGAAATAACGATATGAGCCCTGCAATCAAAGCTCTTGAAGTATTAACCATAAGTTTCCCTTTTTATTTTCTAGAATACGAAAGATAGTCTCTTGAACTTTTTTCCTTCTCTTCCTTTTAGTGCTGAAAGTGTATTGATTTTTCTTCCTTCTCTAGCCTCACTCAAAATCACTGAAAATTCACCAGCATTTTATTTACTAATTTTGACCTTGAAATATTTTTAGATCAGTAATATTTAAAAAGCTACTATTGACTCCTTTCAATTGCTATTATTCTGCTGCATTACAAAAAAAATCCATGTACTTTACCAACAAGGGCAACACACGTTCATTATGTGGTATTGTCTCTTTCAATATAGTCAATGCCACACAAAAAGCCCAATTGAATGCACCTTCAGATGAAATATTAGTTCTTATGTGTCTAAATAGAACCAGCATAATCTAATATTTTCCTCTCATCTTTGCATTAACTTAAAGAAGGGTACATTAAATATGATAGAAAATGGGTATAGTAGGAACATTATCTAGATTACTGTCCTCTATTAAACTAATGGAAGCCTGACTGATGAAGGGATATCTTCACTGCATAAATGATCCTGAGAGGTCTTTTTGGGGGACTTAAAATCTGGGCCTGGACACTGTCCCTTAGTTGTTGTTGTTGTCGTTGTTTTTGTCTCAAAGCTGGTACTCTACCACTTGAGCAACAGCCCCACTACTGGCTTTTTGATAGTTAATTGGAATTAAGAGTGTCATGACTTTTTCTGCCCAGGCAGGCTTTGATTGGCAAGTCTCAGATCCCTGCCTCCTGAGTAGTTAGGATTGCAGGTGTGAGGCACCTTGAATGTTCTCTTCCATACACTTAGTCACTTCTATTTATGACAAAAGTATCTCCCACCCACTTCACCAGTCATTTTTCTAGGTGCATTTTCCATGCCAAGTATGGTGCCAAATGTAAAGTCCACAAAGATGAGTTGATATACGAGTCTTGTCACAGTACTTGTGAGCTATATGACTTTGGGCAAGTTTGTGTCTCCACTTTGTGCCTCCATTTCTTCATCTGTCAGGAAGGGCATTCGTAACAGTATCTTATAGGGTATCTTTAAGGGTAAAGTGAGCATAATACATGCAAATCTTTTGGCTAGGGCCTGGAAAATTGCAATGGCTTAATAAGTAGGTGTTATCATCAATCATTAACAACATCCAACTCAACAGTTCTCAAAATGTGTCCTTTAGGACACCAGTTTTACGAGATATTGTTAATTACATGAAAGATTTCCATAGTTGTTTGGGGGAAATGTCTTAAAGTTTGTAACTTGCTAATGGCATCATGTTTTTCTTAAGGCCTGTAACATATGAAATGTTCACTACACATATTGGACCTTTCCAATCACTGCCTTGCAGGAGTGTTTTGTAGGCAAACTTCTAGAAGCATCGATCTTTGTCTGGCTTGGGTGAAATGAAACTGTCTTCAACCATATCGCTAGCAGGCATTTCAGAAGGTGCTATTGCACCTGTGTGTGTGTGTGTGTGTGTGTGTGTGTGTGTATGTGTGTGTGCATGTGTGTAGTCAAACAGGCATTTCTGTGATCTTAGTTCACCCTTAGTTTATCTTTCTGTAATATGTAATATTTCTACTTAATAGGGTTATTACAATGAATAAACAAAATAATGTATGGCAAGTTCCTGGTTTATATTACACAAGTGCTTAGATGGCTCTTCTAACTAATTGTGTAACACACTAAGGACCCTGGCCTTGTCTTCTCTTTAAGCAACTCCATTTCCTTTATGTACCAGAATAAGGGGGCATCTTAGATAGAATGTAGATAGAATGCTTGTCTTTTCTGTGCATATTGAAGAAGAGAGGGCCTTCGAATTGTAAGAAGGTTCTAACTCTACGTTGCTTTGTCTTTGTATTAATTAAATCTCATTCAGAGGTCTGAAAACACTCTGAAGCAATCAATGGATTCTTCCATAGCCTTGAGAGGAATTTGTTAAGCAGCTGACAAATTCTATAGCAGTGTTTGGCAAATTGCTCCTGTAAAGGGTCAGATAGTAAATACTTTAGCTTTCAGGGTTCCTTGATCTGCTCCAACAGCTCAACTCTGAAGCTTCTATAGGAATTTCATACATGAATGAATGTGTTTGTTTTCCAATGAAGGCTTATTGGAAAAATAAGGTGGTGTGACACTTTGTCCCATGGATCACGGTTTGACAACCCCGGTTCAAGACTCTGCAGGTGACTTGTTACACCCATGGTTTATAGGAATGAAGTTGTAACCAAGGTAACATCAGCACACTGCACAACAGATCCGCTCCCTTCAGATGAAAGAGTGACATGACAGGTGGTGGGGAAAGCTAGAGCTGCGGGAAATCTAATCTCATCACTGATCTGCTTGGTGACTTTCTCTAATGAGACAAAGTGATACAGCAACTGGCAGCATCTGCTGGTCCTTCTTCTTCCTTCTGAACATAGCCCCTTTGAGAACCATCACAGGCCTGCCTGGGGCTGGGGCTCACACAGAGCCAATCTTCTCTAGATTGTCACTAGTCCTTTCTCTTACCATTGATCAAAGTAAGCCAGTATGTATTATTTGTCCTCTCCCACGAAACCTGAGAACTTCCTAGCAGACTTAGAAAAAGACTCCTGTGCTCACTTCTTCATTATGCTAGGTTTCTTTTTGTTGTTGTTGCAGCATTGGGGAATTGAACCCAGGGCTTTGTGCTTCCTAGGCAAGTGCTTACG